ATAAAATATATAATTATTTAATCATGCAAAACCTCCAATGTTAAATCTCTTTATTTTGTATATAATAAATAAATTCGAGTAAAATGAGCTTATAATATAGTATCAATGTAAATACATTATTTTGGCAATTTAATGGCATTGACCATCTAATTTTTACCTTTGTTATACGGAAAGAAAATTATTTTGATTTATTTTATCTTTACGAAAAATATGCTAGAGAATATGCTATGTCTAAGCTTTAAATTGTGAATTAACTAAAAGAATTTGAGTGAGAATGTGTAGACACTTTTGTTTTATAAATATTACAAATTTGATTTTCAAACATATAAATAAAGCGGATTAAATGAATCTCTTTGGCATGCTAATTAGAAAGCTCGGGCCTTAATAAAGAAATATGAATTCTGAGATTTAATATTCAAATTCTCAGTTCAAAAAAATTTCTTTTAAGAATAATGAATTGTCAATCAACATGCACTAAAGAAAAGAAGAAAGATGTAATGGAAATATGAATGGAAAGGGTATTTTAATGCTATGAGATTGAGAAAAAAAAGAAGGAAAAATTTGAAATTTAAACAATTTCAAAAATATGTAATATTCGTTTTAGACATGAGAAAATAAAAAGTAATGATAATGAAGACAAGTACAATAATAATGATTGCCTTAATTATGATGTGAATATATAATCGATCATTCTCAGATACAATTCCAAGGGGCAACTGGTGAATTACACGTTCCTTTAACACAGCTACTTTAGTTTTGGCAGCATACACCATAGCAACAACTAGGGCATACTTATTCAACGTGGAGGAAGCTGGGGTAATCTGATTGTGAGCTTAGGACTTTATCTTAAGGAATTTCAACTGCATTAACCATCAAAGATGTAGCAAGGAGGCATACTAAAAGAAAGGCTTTCATTTGTTATTTAATTAATGTACTTATTTGGATTTTCAATTAGCTTAAATACCTAAGAGATTTGGATACACCAATTGTTATAATTCAATTATTAATATTTTGAATTACAAATGACCCATGATTATGAGAGATTTGCGGTTGTTATAACAGATATTATGATATTAAGGGGGTTCTTATTACTGAGACTTTAATTGTTCTGATAGTTAGTATCATGGAATATAGGTATCGTAGAGTAAGTGAACAGATGTAGTTAATGAGATTTTGAGATTTACATTTTGTGATTAGAACTCCAATCCCTCGACTTTGATGTCTTCTGCATCTTTTAGATAAAGAAATTATTGTTGGCTAAGTGATTAGATAGATGTTATTAGATTATTATCCAAACTTAAGGTAGTGAATTACTTAATTATGTATGATGTCAGGAGAGATTTTATTTTTCTACTTCTTATTGAATACCTGTCAAGTTATTAGTATTTCTTATTTCTATCAGTCTATGTG